ACCAACCCAGGTAATACCAACCTTCCTAAGGCATAGGCTGCCTGGGGGTGTAGTTTCCACTCATGCTTGGAGCAAGACCTGGGAAACCTCAGGATTAGAGAGACTGTCCAAGCACTGGTTCACCAAAAGTGGTGAAGGTCTTCTCTGTCCCTTCTCTCCACTTCCATTACCTATTGCTGTTATTGTTACTGTACTACAATGTAAAGAAAAGTTCTGAAATCAGGAAAACCTGAGCCAAATCTTGCCTCAGACACCTAATAGCTGTGAGACCTTAGATAAGTCACTTAATCTCTCTAGGTACCAGTTTCCTCATCTGTAAAATGAAGGAGTTGGCCTAGAGGGCCTCTGAGGTCATTTCCAGTTCCAGGTCTATGATCCCCTAAATCAGATTCCACAAATTCAGTGCCAGGAAGGGGTAGAAATCCAGTCAGGGTCAGCCCTCAGAAAATCCCCCAAATCAGCAAAATTTGTCTTTTGAGGCACATGTCCCCACTCCTCCATTCTTCTCTCCCTTCTCATAGGTTCTCTTCTCTTCATCTGCTCCTTTTTTTAATCCCTATCCTGGAACCTTTTCCACATGCCCTCCTTCCTCTGTTTTCCAAATGCAAGGGGGGTTCCAATACTCCTCTCAATCTAGAGCCCTTTACACCCCACTTTCTACACCTATCTTTCCCCTCATGATATTCTACTTCCCTTCCCTCACCCCCAGGTGCATAGCCTGTCTCCTCCTATCCCTGGCAAGCCTTCTTCTTAGTTGTTGTTTTGAAGTGTAGCTAATATTTCAGGCATGACCCATCCCAAAAGTATTCATATTTTAATATTCTACCCATCAAGATCCAAAAGACTTCAAGATGTAAAAGAGTGAATTACTTAGATGAATTTCAGGCAGCATGAGAGGTGGAAACAAATATGTAGGTGGACAGCTGCCTATCCTCATATGAGCAATATCCATCTTGCATTGGATCTTGGGTTACAAAGTACCTAATCAGATCCTGACTTGATAAGACCTTAGCCTTGGTCCCTAATAGGGGTTAGATATTCGGAGGCATAGAGACCTAATGACCTAAGGAAATGGCAAATCACTCCAGTATCTTTGCCAAGAAAACCCCAAATGGGGTCATGAAGATTTGGACATGACTGAAACAACTGAACAACGATAGCTAAAGCCCAGTAGGAGGCTGAAAGAATAGACTGAAAAGATCTGTAACCCTCCCTTGTAGGATATTTACTTATTGCCTTCATTACTGACCCACCCTCCCTATTGCTGCATATTGGAGATAACTACAGAAGTTAATTGACAGACCATAGCCCTCTCCTGCAAGGAAAATGCTTATGAACATCAGCATCCGCCAGTAGGTATTGAGCAGAGTATTAGATGATCCTGAAGAGAGTGGGATTTCTCAAGAGCAACTGTCACAGAGATGTAGCACCTACATGCAGCACCTACAGAGAGGCACAGAGACCTAATGACCAAGGTAAGCATAGCTAGCAGAAGCAAGTATGAAGACATTAACAGAAGTCATCAGCAGCTTTGCAGTATCAGAGGTATGCATTATTTCTCAGTGCAGATGGATTCACTGCACACATTTATTGTGTGTGCACCCCTCCATGCAGGATTTTTTGCATGTTACACACACACACACACACACACACACACACACACACACATATATATATATACATATATATATATATATATATATATATATATTCCCAATGTATTTTTGCTTTGCATTCTCATTCTTTCCACTGAGCATATTTGTGGAAGAGTTAAGTCCAAGGTTTATGAGTTAATAGGGGATGGTCTATTGTTTTATGATTTATGTGTTATTTCAATAAATTACTTTGCTTTGAAGTAAGAATGTCTCTGATTATCTGTTAAGGTAATCCTACTACATAGCTGGTGAGCTATGGTTTATAGAGTATTCTGACTCATAAAGTATATACATCCTGGGATAGTTTTCTTGGATTCCATGGATGAAGGGGGTTCCTGGTTACTACATACAAGTTCCTATTTAATAATTGCTATTTGTGTGCTCATAGTATAGAATAACATACTGTGTCTGTGTGTAAAACATTTAAGGAATTTTAAATGCTTCCTTTCAGTGATTAGAATCACTTATTTGACTAGGCCTTGCCAGAAATTCACTTTGAACCGATTAAAAAGTTTCAGAAACAATAGAAAGATAATAAGAACATGTTCTAGACACTGAACTTCATAAAAAAACATTCTTATAAACTTTATGTTTTATAACGTGTGGAAAATGATATAACATCTGTGTATCTCATCCATGGACCAGAAGTAGAAGACATTAATTTTCAATAAAGCAAAATGTGGTATGAGAGGAAATGGTCCACACCAAAGTTGGGAGAGCCAACTAAAACCTATTTTTTCTGTGACCTTAGACAAGACATTTAACTTCTAAGACCTATTTTCCCACATTTAAAATGAGGAAATTGAACTAGATTTTCTCTAATGTCCTTTGTAACCTGTGTAACCTGGACAAGTTGTTATAATAATAATAACAATAATAAGAACAAGCCTTTATGTAGTACTTACAATGTATAAATGCTTTATAATTATGAATTCATTTGATTCTCACCACAACTCTAAGAGGTAGATATTATTATGCCCATTTTACAGATGAGAAAACTGAGGTAAACAGAGGTTAAGTGATTTGGTCAAGTTTACATAGCTGGGAAGTATCTGAGGCTGGATTTGAACCCAAGTCTTCCTGACTCCAGGCCTGATGCTTTATCCACTGTATCTTTGGGCCTCATTTTGTCATCTATAAAATGAAGAAGCTTAGCAAAATGACATCTAAAGTCCCTTTCAGCTCTAAATCTATGAGCCTATGGATGTTATAGACATAACATAACTAAATTTTAGCACAGGGGCCAAAGAAGTCTCTCATGCTATCCTTTTGGACAAGGTAAGAGATGTGAGCTAGCTAAAGATGCAAGTAGGGGTCCAAAATAGTAGTTATATTTAACATAAACAAAGACCCTAGTGGAATGTCCCAGTGATTTGTCCTTGACTTTGTGTGGTTTAACCTCTTTTAGCAAGGACTTCAATGAAGTTATAGAAAAAAAAAATTCTTGTTGAACTTCAAAATGACATGAACCTGAGAAAGAAAACTAAAACATCATATGACTGTCAGGATCCAAAGAGATCAGTGCAGGCTAGTGTTATGAGCTGAATCTAATAAGACAAAATTTTGTAAAGATAAGTATAAACTTCTATGAGCTAAGAAGTCAATTCATAAGTAAGGGTTAGGGGAGGCGTGGCTAGAAAACAATTCTTTTGGAAAGAGACAGAGGTTTTAGTGAACCACAAGCTCTACACAAAACTAATATATGATGCAGTATCCAAAAATGCTCATATTAACATAGGCTGTACTAAAAAAAAAAAAAACATGATGTCAAGAATAATTGTAGTGATAGTTCTATTTAAACTCTGATCCTGGTCAGTTGACATTTGTGGTATGGTGCTCAGTGGTGAATAAGATAAAATATGTTAATACGATGATTTCCACAATGATGACCAGAAAACATGTCTCATGAGGACATAGGCTTGCGTAGAGAGTCTATTCATGTTTATATATGAGGATGACTTGAGGTGCCTGGGGATATTTAGCCTGAAGAGAAAATGATATCAGTTTTCCAGTATTTGAAGGACCCTTATGCAGAAGAAAGATTAGATTTACTCTGTTCAGCCTCAGAGGGCAAAACTGGGAATAAATGTTACAGAGTCAGATTTCAGTGTTATATAAGGAAAAACTTAAGATCGAGCTATCTAAAAGTGGACTGGAATGCTTTTGAAGGTAATGAGTTCCCCATCACAAAAGCTATTGATTGATCACTTGGCCATGGTGTTGTAGAGTAGATGATCATTTGGGTATAGACTAGTGATCTCTGAGGTAACTTCAAGTTCTTAGAATCTAAGTTGTGATATTGTGAACCCAGGAGAAAGACCTGGCAATTACAGTGACATCAAAAGAATTAACAGGCCAATATCTGGGATGCATAAGAGTGAAGAAAATGGTGCCAAGTGAGCCAAGGACTCAGAGATTTCAGCAGCTTCATCATGGGTCCTTGCTCTGGGACCTTTTCCTCCTGATCCCACTTTGACATGGACAAGGTAACTGCCCTCCTTTCCACTGTATCTATGCAATTGTTGTTGTTGTTCAGTCGTTTTAGTTGTGTTCAACTCTTTGTGACTCCATTTGGGGTTTTCTTGGCAAAGATACTGGAGTGGTTTGCCATTTCCTTCTCCATCTCATTTTACAGATGAGGAACTTAGGCAAACAGGTTAAGTGACTTGCCCAGGGTCACACAGATAGTATCTGAGGCAGAATTTGAACTCAGGAAGACTCATCTTCCTGACTCCAGGCCCCGCACTCTATCTACTATACCATCTAGTGGCCCATCTGTGCAATAGGTTTTGGCTTTGAAACTTTGTAGAAAATTGATATGGGGCCAGCTTTACAAATGTGGCATTGAGGGAGCATGTTATGCTGTGAAATTGTCAGGTACTACTGACCAGACAAGCCTCTTAGAGAGCACCACAGCCATATGTATTCATATTGGGCTGGGAAAGGTAGCAGACCAGCAAGAGAATGGTGCCACAAAGGGGAGTGACTACGTAAGAACAATGCAGCTAGACTGAGTACCAGGAAGGAAGGTCCAAAGTGGTCAGCTACAGAAGCGCTTCCTGGAATTCTTGGTCACCCTGAAGAAAAGAGACAAACTCTCCATGAAGTCACCTCCCAGGTCTTACAGTTAAAGCAAAACACTCAAACTCAGATCTCTGAATTTGATTCAACAATAATGATTCACATCAAATCCTAGCTCTTCCACCTTACTACCTATGTGACATTGGACAAATCGTTCAACCTCTCTGGGCCCCATAGTCCTCGTTTGTAAAATGATGGAAGTTGGATGTTCAAATATCTCAGAGTATCTGATTTCTTGCGTTTACTTTTTTCAGACCTTGCAAAGTACCTTATTTTATAACTAAGGAATGTATAGCTAAATGGAAGGAAAGTTGATCAGTTCACCTTCAAGAGATACATAAAGGAGTGGGCTGAGTTGTCTTTATCACATGTTCAAAGACAATAGGAAATATCATTTCATGGTACATTTAATCAATTCATATTGAAGTGTTCATGACAAGTATTTTAAGAAAGGCCACCAGAATCCATTGCAGAGGAAGAAGTAAAGAAATCCTTCAAATTAAAAGAAAACCCTCAAGTCAAGGAAGCCAGTAGATGGAGATGAGGAAAAAGAGCATTTTAGGAATGCAGTACAGAAAATGCCCAGAGCTAAGAGAATCACAGTTCTGGGAATCACATTTTAGGAAAGACACTGATAATCTGGAGAGTGTCCAGAGGCAGGCAATCAGAATGGTGAAGAGTCTCAAGTTGATGTCATAAAAGGATTAGGTAAAGGAACTGAGGGTGTATAATCTGGAAAAGAAAAGGCTTAGTAAGTCAGGGGAATAATTATTATCTTCAAGAACGTCTAGTAATTGGCCTTCTTCTGTTTGGCCCTAAAGGGCAAAATGAAGAGCAATGAGTAGAAATTGTAGAGACAAACTTTGGCCCAGTGTAAGGAAAACTTGCATTTTTAAGTTTATAACGTTTATAGTTAATCAAAACTGAAAGATGCTCCTTTGGAGAGTAATGAGCTCCCCATCGCTGGATGTCTTCAAGAAAAGGGAAGATGGTCATTTGTGGAATATTTTCTAGAAAGGATCTCTGTTCACATACATTCTGATTAAATGGCCTCTGAAGTTCCTTCCAATTCTGAGATTCTGTGACTCTTTGATGATAATGATAGATATGATGATTGTAGTGATGGTAATGATTAATAAAGAGGATTGAGGTGGGTTGTTTGGATTGAATGAGGATAATTTGGAGAAATACTCTTAGGAGTCAAGAATGGGCAAAATTATAGAGTACACAAAATACTTTGGACTTTGTTATGATATTTTTATATTACGTAATGGAAAAGACAAGCCTTGACCTGTAATTGTAGAGTTGTACATTTCAATTCAATTTAAGGGATGCCTCCTTTGATCTTATAACCTCAAGTTACCCCTGTAATCAAGTCTACCCTCCTGTCCTTAAGATATGAAGAAGAAGATATCATGTTTTTCTAGATCCCCAAAGTGAAATGCCAAGCAATGTGGTATAGTTGAAACAACACTAAATTTGCAGAGAGAAATCAGATTCAAACCTCAGCTCTGACATTTAACTGTGTGCCAATGGGCAAGTGATATAAGCCGTTTCCTCATCATGAAACAGGGAAGATACTACACACACTATATAACTCACTGAGTAGGTTTTTTTTAAGCTCTTTGTAAACTACAAATTTAGATAGATAGATAAAGATAGAGAGATAGGTAGATTGATAGATATGGAATTGTTAATGTTCCTATCCCTGAACTTGTATTGCATTCATAGTTAGCATTACACAGTTTTTCATTTGACTATTCCCTAATTGATTTTTGTGCATTATTCCCATACTAGGCTATAAAGGCCACATCATATTAATTTTCTATAGGAACACCAAGCGTAGAGATAGGCACATAGAAGCTTTTCAATTTTGATTTATTGGTTGACTGACAATGGATTCTTAACCTCCCTCAGACAATTTCTCTAACACCTAACTATATTGACCCTCAATAGAATCATCCCAAAATCTAGCCTGAGTCTTTCTTATTGCAACATCATTGAGTTTCCTCTCTTCATCAAAGGGCACAGCTTTACTAGTATGTCATGATTCTTTCCCTCTTTGGGCACCTATCATGCCAGGATAGAACCTCCACAATACCCCTCCTGATCCCAGAAAAAGAAGGCAGAACTCAGGTGGGGTTGATCTGCTTGGGATTCAGGATCACCAGCAGTCTCTCCCTAATCTGCTTTGTCTTGACCCCATAGATGATAGGGTTGAGAGCAGGTGGGAAGAGCAAGTAGAGATTGGCAAAGATGACTTTGACTGCAGAGGCGGTGGGTGGACCAAAGCGCTGCATTATGACAGAGAGGAAGCCCGGCATGTAGAAGAAAAGAATGACAACAACGTGGGCAGTGCACGTACTGCCTGCCTTGGCCCGGGCTTCATGTGAAGGGAAATTCAATACTGTCTGTAGGATGCGCCCATAGGAGTAAGCAATGAAGGCTACATCACCAATACCCAGGAATAGTGCCACAACAAAGGCATTGATGTTGTCTATTGTGGTGTTCCCACACGCCAGTTTCACCACAGCCATGTGCTCACAATAGGTGTAGGCAATGACATGTGACCCACAGTAGGGCAAACGTCTAGCCAGACTTGGGAATGAGACAGTGAGTCCAATGCCCCGAAGCATGACTAGACCCCCAATTTGGGCAATGACCACTGGGGTGAGAATAGAGGAGTAGCGCAGGGGGTTACAGATGGCCACATAGCGATCCAATGCCATGGCCACCAGCACCCCCGATTCCATAGCAGAAAAAGCATGTATGAAAAACATCTGAACAAGGCAGGCATGGAAGTTGATGGCTGTGGCATCAAACCAGAAGATGGTGAGCATCTTGGGCAGAGTGGAGAGAGAAAGGACCAGGTCAACAGAGGAGAGCACGGAGAGAAAGAAGAACATGGGCTGGTGTAGATTACGGTCTGTGAAGATCAGGAAGAGCAGGATGCAATTCCCAGTCACAGCCATAAAGAACATGGAGAAGAAGGGCAACGAAATCCAGATGTGTGCAAAAGCCAGTCCTGGTATACCAGTCAGGAAAAATGTGGATGGGAAGCTGGAGTCATTTAGAGGCATCATATTGGGCAGGCTGCCACAGATCCCAACCCAGCAAAGCCATCAAGCCCCTGAAAAGAAAGACAATCAGGTTAGAGCAGGGAAAAGGGGTTGAGCATGTATCCAATCTCCAAGCCCGGTGGGGTTAAAGGTTGCAGCTTTGTCCATACGGGACTAAATCTCAATGGGCATCTCTGATGACGAAATTTGCGTGCCTTGAGAACTTATATCTCTTTCTTTTTATGTCCTATAATCCATCCAGCAGTTCATCAATTTACCTGCCCCAAAAAAAATTAATGCTGAGCCTTTGGGTAGCTGCTTTGGGGAAAATAAAGATTGGACGTAATCCCTGCCCTCATGAGATTCACTCTCCAGTAAAGGGGATAAGACACATACACAAATAACTATAATGCAATGTATTTTGGACTTCCAATCTCCACATTGTCCTTGATATCAGAAAGTCACTTGTGCCTTCAAGCCTCACTTGATTACCCAAATTTCTTAAATCTGCTTTGTTCTTAAGAACTGATATTTATCTGCTCCCTCTGTAACCTAGTAACCATATACTGCCTTGTATGGTTACTAGATAAAGATACTAGAGTGGTTTGCCATTTCCTTCTCCAGTTCATTTTACAGGTGAGGAAAGTGAGGCCAAGCGGGTTAAGTGACTTGCCCAGGGCCACAAAGCTGGTAAAAGTGTCTAAGGCCAAATTTGAACTCACAAAGATGAGTCCTCCCAACTCCAGTGCTCCATCCACTGTACCACCTAGCTGCCCTTCCTGATATGTAGTGTTTACCAGTTTCCAAGGTGTAAATGCTCACACTGAAAATTTAACAATCAGTTTTCAAGAACAAGTACCAGCTGACTCCAGTATGACTCCAGCAGCTAACTGCCCCACTCTGCCTCCCAACCTTTTGAAAAAATTCTTCACAAAGGACCTGAACTATAGAATCATTTATTTCTGTTTCACTTTTTCAAAACATCTCATAAAGAAATCAACCCCAATGCATGGAAATGAGATGCCAGTAAAAGTAGGTAAGTGAGGCAGAGAGGATTTTTCTTTGTACCCTGGGTTTTAAAGACCCATTCAGATCCATTAACAAGGAGTCAGAGGAGCACCTGCATAGCATGATGGATAGAGAATCAAGATTGGAGTTGGGAAGATCTGAATTCAAATCCAACCCCAGACATGATATGTGAGAAAAGAAGGAAAGGTCAACAACACATTGCTTCCCTCCTCAAAATTATCAGTGATTCCTTGTTGCTTATTGAACAAAATGCAGATTCCACAAAGTAGCATTTAAAACCTTCCATAATCTAATCCTCATTAATCTTTCCAGCCTTATTTAATGAGATTTTATGTTATTATTTACCCTCCACAAATTCTAGGTTCCAACCAAAATGGACTTCCAGAATTTTTCATTATCCCCCCTTGCATTTGCAGAAGCTGTCAGCTATGCCTGGGATACATGCTTTCTTTTCATCTCTACCTTTCAGAATCCTTGTCTTTCTTCAGTCCATTTCAAGTGTCACCTCCTGTGGGAAACCTTCCCTGATCTCTGCCCCCCCCATCCCACCCAGTTGCTAATGTTCTCTTCTCCCTCAATTTTCCTATAATAGATTTATTTGTATGTGTTGTATCTCCTCCCTCCAATGGAATGTAAGTTTCTTGAAAACAGGACTGTTGTTGTTGCTTTATCTTTATTTCCCCAGTGATTAAATGTCTTTTACATGGTCTAGACTTGCAATTTCATAGATACAGAAAACTCCCGATGTGCAACCTTCCTCCACTAATAGATATCAACAACTATTCTGTAACTTCTAGTTTCAGTTGTTTGGGGGCACTTAGAGATTACACAAATTATAATGGTCGCTCTGGCAGGTTCTGAATCCAGACTTTCATGCCTCCAAGTCCAGACCTTCATCCATTACTCCACACTACCATTGTTTAATAAATGTGTGTTGCATTTTATTTAGACAATTAGATATGAGAAGCTAACAGAGAAGGAACACTTACAGAAAACTGTAAGGTTATGACCATGGGTAAATAGTCCTGAAACAAACTGAAATAATTTAGTTAGAAGAAGTCAATTTAGGGGGCCTTTAGATTGGTTTTGGATATTTTGTGCTTAATGTGCCAATAGGATATACAGGTGAAAATATCCTGTAGGTAGTTGATGATATGGGTCCAGAGCTCAGAAGAGAGAGATTTAAGAATCATCTGTGCCTTTCTCTCCCTACACCCTCCCTCTTGAGCATTTCATCAGCTCTCATGGGTTCAATTTTCACCTGTATGCAGAAGACTCCCAGATCAATAGATCTAGACCTATTCTCTCTCCTGAGCTCCAGTCCCTGATTACCAACTCTCTTTGGCTACATTTAACTAGAAGACTTCAGCATTCCAACACAAGTCATCATCATTATACCAAAACCCTCTCCTCCTTCAAATTCCCTATTTCTGTTAAGGTTATCACCATCCTCCTAGTCACCCACATTTGCAACCTCAGTGTCATCCTTGACTCCTCCCTGTTTCTCCCTATGTATATCTAATGAGATTCAGTGTCTTGCTAACTCCTCCACCAGAACAGATCTTGCTTCTGTCCCCTTCCCTCCATTCATACCAGATCATATCCCATCACTTCCTGTCTGGGCTATTGAAATAGCTTCCTAACTGGTTACCTTGTCTCATGTCCTTCATCTCTTCAATCCATCATCTATATTACTGCCAAATTGAGATTCCTTGACCATGTCACTCATGATTCAAAACCAGTGGGTCAGAAGAAAGAGTTCACAGACTTCTCACACTTCATGGTCATTTCCAGATCTCTCTCTGGCATTGGCACTCATCAAACTCTCTTCCTTTCAGTTGCACTCCATCTATCTATTTAACTCAGTTCTGAGCCTTATTGTAACCTGCTAGTTTCTAAGTGACTCCTTCCATTCCCTTTTCAAGGGATTCACTACCTGGATCACAGTCTTCATCTCTGCCTCAACACGTGCCTTTATATTCAACAATTGCAATTGTCCCTTCAAACCTCATACAATCCTGATCTATTTAGCTCCTTAATAACTATAACTTCCATTTTCATTCTCCCTCATCTACCTACATGGATAGTCATACCTTATATCCCCCTATCACACATAACTATGGCACCATCCTGATTTAAAATTCTTAAATTCCCTTCTCTGATCATAACTTCTTATCTCTTCATCTCTGACTTTCCCTTTTATTCTCAGTGATAGAGCAGTAGGCCTAGAGTTAGGAAGACCTGAATTCAAATCTGGCTTCAGACACTTACTTGCTGTGTGACCCTGGGTATGTCATTTAACCTCTGTTGGTCTCCCATTCCTTCTCTATAAAATGGGAGTAATAATAGCACCTACCTTCCAGTGTTATTGTGAAGATCAAATGAGCTATTATTTGTAAAATCACTTAGTGTAATAACTGGCATATAGTGCTATATAAAGGCTTAAATCTTCCCTTCCTCATTGAAATCTCCAGTGACTCCAACCTTCCTCTTCTCCTGGTCCATCATCCCCTACTCTGGCCTCACTTTCCTCCTTTCAGGAGAAAAAGCAATCAATAGAAGTATATATTGCCTTCTGCCTTTTGATCTAACCCTATTCGTGCGCTGCCAATCTTCAACACCAAATCATCCTCACCATCTACCTTCTCTCCTCCTACTCCTGAGCCAGTGAATGCTGTTAGAAATAATCACACCACTATGATAACTGAGTTTACCACAAATTCATAATATCTAATTTCAAATGAGCCTTCACTACTACATGACAATCGTTTTATCCTTCCTTGATTGATTCTCTACCCAGCTACCCTCAATAGCTGTTTTCTTCTAAATCTTTAGCTTTTTTTTCTGAAACTCCCACTGTATTCCACCACACCCCTCTCAATGGATTTCCTCACCTACTTCACTAAGAAAAATGAGATCTTTAAAAATTCCTTTGTTTTCCCTATTTCATACCTCAAAACCCTTTATATCTTCATATTCTCTTCCTTAACTTTGGTCTCTGAGGAAAAGTTAACTCTTCTCCTTGCCAAGGCAATTTCTGCTTGTGCATTTTATCCCATTCCCCCCACCTCTTTTCTTTTAGAAAGAAATTCTTCCTCAATCATGCCCTCTTTTCCTAATTTTTTAAGCTCTCTTTATTAGCTGATTCTTTCCTTATTACCTACACATATATTCAGGTCTACAATATCCTTAAAAAACTGCTATCCCATCAAACTCAAATCCTCCCTTTTACTGCCAAACTCTTAGAAAGAAAAGTCCATATTCATTACACTTCCTCACTTCCCACTCATTTCTCAATCTCTTACAGTATAAGCTTCTTATGAAACCACTTAACTGAAACTTTTCTAAGGTTGGCAAATGCCCTCATAATCGCTAAATCACAGGATCATAGAGTATTTAGAGCAGGAAGTGACTTTAAAGGTTATTTTATCCTACCCTCTTCACTTTATATATGTGGAAACCAAGAACAGAGGTTACATGCCTTGTCCAAGGCACATTTGATGAGTGGCAGCATCAAAATTTGAACCTAGGTCCTCTGACTCCAAATCCAGCACTCTTTCCACTGTACCACAACATTTTTCTCGAATGACCATTTCCCAGTCCTCACTCTCCTTGGCCTTTCTGCAGCTTTTAGCACTGCTAACCATTCCCTCCAAATTCTCTCTCCTCTTTTGGTTTCTGTGACACTGCCTTTTCCAGATTCTATTCTGATCAGAAATACTCAGGGTTCATCCCTGATCATCCCACCTCCCACACTTTTAATGTGGGTGTTCCCTAGGGCTCTGTCCAGAGCCCTTTTTCTTTCACTACACCTTCTCTTTTGGTAAATTTATCAGCTCACATGGATTCAAGCTCCACCTCTTTGCAGAACCCTAATCTTTACTTTGAACACCAGTCCTACAATTTCACCTGGTTATTGGACATATTCTCTTGGATATCTCAATCTTAAATTCAATACATTCAAAACAGAAATCATGATCTTACACCCCTTGCAC